GTGCATCACTTGCTTTGTGTAGTATTATTATTATCATATTATTATTATTATCATTTTATTTCAATTATTAAACTGTTTTTATCTCAACCCATGAGTTTTTCTCACTTGTGCTCTTCCATCTCTCTCCCCTATCCCACCGGGTGGGGGGGAGTAAGCGAGCGGCTGCGTGGTGCTTAGTTGGACTGAGATTAAACCATGACAACAAAAACACTGAACTGAACAACGGCAGCTCTTTCCTGGTTTATTGGTCAACAGATATAGTAAAAAGAGCTTGATGCAGAATCCACTAGAATTGGTAGAAGAAAACCTACTTGGATCTAGTCCCAAGTAAACAAATCATTTTACATCAACACCTTTAGAATATTTCAGATCAGCTTTCAGCATATTTTCCAGTTTGCAGATACAATTATTAATGCTGCAGGTATACAGATCAATACAGCGATGTTACCAGGAGGCTGGAAGGGTTTGTATACTGATCTGGAAATGAATATTTTATTGTTCTAAGAATTTCAATCCACAACACACAGCTATTGTAGTATCAGTTACCAACACAAAACAATAAGTAAACTACTATACTGCCGTATAATGTGATAAACAATAGTAATCTTTTCTCATTTCTGAACATTGACTTCCGATATCAAGGTCACAGGTATTAACAGGCATTTGTAAATTTTACTGTTCCAAAATAAAATTAAAAAAAAAACCAAAAGCCAAACTTGCTTGAATAACCACTGAGTCTATCAATCCAGAATTCTTTAATGAATAACAGTTCATATTTAATAGCACTTTTTATACAAATACCAAAAGGCACAGAGGAAATTCATAAAATCATTTTCATTTTTGTTTGTGTTCAAAGATTTATTTTAGAAAACTCTATATGATATTATTGATGGAAACTTTTTGACAACATAATAGTCTACAAAATCTCTAAATGTTATGGGAAACAAAGAATACACTGCATTATATAGTCCAAGAGATTTTCAGACTAACAGGTTTCAGACTACTGAAGCCAACAATAAAAATTCCATAACATGAATCAGCCTAGATTTTTTTTTTTAGTCTAGTTCATAAATGACACGTACAGCTGTCTAAAACAGGAAGGAATATCAAAAGATTGGCTTTCACATAATCAGCTAGTAACAGAACAGTTTAAGGGTTACGAAACCTCTACTACATGAACTGGCATGACATTTCAGGGAAGCCACGGCAATTTGCCTCAACTGAGGCAAATACTTTGCAGTATTTCTGTACATACTTAAATACATACTTCACCATCATTTCATCAGAACATTTTGGTAAGAGAAATCAAGTACATGAATCATATTATATTATGTGGAATCGCAGATGAAATATACAAAAGAACAAGAGTTTGACAGTTCTAATTTAGAGGCTCTTTGATTATGAACAGTTGGCTTACCTGTTTAACATCATACGCAAGAAGAACAAATCTTAAGTCTGGTGAAACTGAGTATCTTGATGCTTTGAATGTTACCTAAAATGAAGTAATAATAAAAGTGAGTTTGCAGTAAGAAGGATCATTTTTTCCACATTTTCCTACAGTTGATTTAAGAACTTCCCATTCATAAGACAGGTCTGGTTTAGAACACCTACATAATTTTCACAAAAGAAGGACTCACATAATTCTTAGTCTAATTTGCTGGTAGCAGTATAATGCAACAGATGAATCTGGCCTCGACACTAAATACCAGTTAAGAAGTTGATGAGGTTTTTATCATGATTGCAAGCACTAAGCTCAAGGATAACAACTATAACCAATTCATTTACAGAGGATGAAGGAAGATGCTTTGGTTGGTGCGTACTTCAGGAATGATTATAAGGGAGATTCACCACTAGGTTAGGCTTAAAGATAACATACAAGAAAAAGAATAGGTGTACACTATGTCTCTATTGCTTTTCTTTTAACGCCACATACATAAACATTTTGCAAGACAACTTGCACTAAAGAAAAACTCGCTCTTATAAGAAAGAAAATGCTTAGTGGAGAGCAAAGTGAAACATAAGGTAGCATTATAAAACTAATATTGCTTTATACCTATCCAAGACTACAGGACACCCAATTGAAGTCAGGGCTGTAATTTAATTAAGAGGTAATGCTGAAGTCAGAAAGAATTTAATGCATCTAATGTATGAGGAAGATAAGAATGTGCTTTAAAAGGCACTGAAGGAAATAATTTTAAATGAATCTCAAGACATCTATTTGCAGAATGAAAGGAAAAAGGAGAAGAAGTGAAAAATGCAGATAGGAATACAAAAAGTAGGATAGAAAAAATAACAGAACCACAAAGGTACAAAGTGAAAGAAAATAAACAAATAGCTCTGCAGAGCAAGATCTATCCACTATTCAAAGGAAGGCTTTCCCTTATTTGACTTCTTAAGCATCCTGTTCTGTTTAGCCTAATCCCACTGCTAAACTAATGAATTCAACAGGGGTTTAAGGTACACAAACCAGAAGTCATAAACTAATACATTCAGAGTAGCTAAGGAGTTATTCCTAAAAAAAAAAAGAAAAAAAAAAAGCAAAAGCTAATCTTCCAATAAACTGAGAAGATGCTGTGTTTTGATATACAGATTAAACTCAAGTTCCTAGGTAAGATAATCAGAATCAAGCTATCCAAAAAAATCAAAGGGAAAAAATTAGTTTTGAAGATAAACTGTGTATTAGTTTGATGCGAGAGCATAACAGTATCAAAAGTTAGAAGATAAATCTGCTGTCTCGAGGAAAGAAGAGAAAAAAAAAAACTAAAAGCATTCTTTTGTATCTACAAAGCATTCAGAACAGATTTCTACTGTGCTCAAACTAGCTTTTATGAGTTAACCATCTTTAAGCCGACACTATGTTAATGTTAATCTATGAATAACATTCCCTTCTCTTAGCACATCACTGAAAACATTTTTAGATGTGAAATTTCTCTGCTTTATAGTAGCTTATTAATTATTGCCCCACTACCTCAGTCTTCAGCAATATATAACCCAGGCAGCTTTCCAAATTCATTCTCAGGGAGCACGGTGCTTACCATTTCATGCATTTAGTAAGACTCTTCAGTCACTGATTATGCCACCACAAAAGTGATGATGCACTTAATGCAAACACCTGAGTAGCTCAGCTGCAAACTATTGGCAGTTCAAGGCAACACCAGCAAGAGCTACTCGCATATTCTATATCCAAGTATAGAGTCTTGTGGATTTGGGATTTAAAATCATTTGAATCCTACTGAAGATGACCTTGTTCATTCAACTTGCACTCACCTGCAAAATTCTGTTTGCCTCCAGAAATGCCTAAGACACATGGTGTACATGCAGTGCCAATAAGCTATAATCTCTTGAGTGCAGGTAATGGTTTTGGCAAAATAGTTTTCTTTTTGTTGGTATAATGGCATTATTCTTGTTAAAAGGAGGATAAAGCTGTTTCATACTTTTTAATGTTTTGCTTAAGAAACAAGAAAATAAAAATTAGACCAGCAGAAATCATGTTCATTGCCAAAGCTGATAGCAATGCTGATTTCTTTACATTATCATAAAATCATAATTAGCCTATTTTTTGAAGTTGGATTTACAATCAAGTCTTTAAGGAAATAAATGTTTAATTCTAATAGCATTTCAGAGAGATTTAAGTGACTTAAAGTCACTTAAAGTGATTTAAATTTCCTTAGAGGTCTGTTTTGGGTTTTTTTTGGTGAAGACAAGCACAATTTTGGCAATGAATTCAGAAACTGTCTACTTGTATGCACGGAAGAAGCCCTTCTAGATTAACAACAGGAAAAAAAAAATTAAAAATCATGACTCATTCCTCCTGCCTAACATGGCAAGTAAGCTCACAATCTGTGAGTTCACTAAAACAAAAGACAGATTTCAGTTTTTCCCCATAAACATGTCTAAGGTATTTCACCAACCAACAGATGCCTGACTCCATGACTGAGGAGATATGATCAGCTGGTGATGGGCTTAAAAGAAAGTTTCAGACCCTGCGGTAGGAGGTGAGACATATGCCACTCAAGCCCTTGGGAGATTGTTGTGACATTCACAACAGGGATTAGATATATTTATTCATTAAAAAGAAGTTTGTGAAGACTCTGACCCCAAGGGTTTGTTCTCTTCTCAGGAGAATATATTTTTGAGTATTAAAGAAAGTGTTGGAAAAACACCATATTGGAAACATTGGGAATTAAAAAACCTCGGGTGTCTTCTTATCAAAAGTCTGGAGGATGCTTGTTCCGCTATCATGTCTGCATATCTGCAACTTTTCAAGCTTCTTGCTTTGTCAGGAGCTGTTGAGCCTTCGTTCAGGAAGACAGACCTAAATGCTGCCCCTTATGACTATGCCTCTATGGTTTAGCTGTGCTTGATCTCTAAGAAATGTAGCTCTGGACAAATAAGCTCTGAAACAGGGAGAAATATAGCTGGCTAATTAGGCACAGTTCCTGGATGGAGAAGCAGGGCTCTTTTCCCTCTGCATCACTGCAGACTATCAGCTGTTTAGGAGACTGGGGGTAATTCAACACAGTGCTGCACTGTGTGCTCCATATCGCCTTATCCTTATCCCCTTTCTAAACCACAAGAGAGGAAAGGCAGAAGAGAAGGAAAAAGGGAAGGTAATTTCCTTATGTCCCTAGCCACATCAAGACTTAAAATCCCTATGAAAACCATCAGCTGTATGCAACTAGAAAACACTTTGACTAGATAAATTGCTGGAATCCCTAAATTAGTTATATTTCACACTGTTGCATAATTCTGAGCCAAAAAAATGTTTTTTAAACACCTGTACACTGTCTTCCCTTCTTAATTCACAAATCTGCCATCCGTTTTTCCTATATTGCTGAATTTGACATCATTTCACTTTTTCAGACATGAAAGCATGATCCTATATCTGACCTTGCGTTCCTCACCCAACCAAAACCCCCACTGACTGTATAATTAGGTCTAACTACATTGAACATTGCATTTCTAGGTTTCTTTGAAATACTTCACGTGATAAGAGTTTTAATTCTTCTCCTGACAGTGATGCATGATGTGATGATCCCATGGACAAGCAATGACTGCTAGTCTCACTGTCACCACAGATTGCAAGGATAAAAAGCCAAATGGAGGCAAAAGGACACGGTGCATTTAAACAGTCTTTTGCCCTTCAGCTTTCCAGCTTCTTTCTCTCATCCACGTTCCAAATATGTCTTGCTAAACATAGTTTTGCATGGAAAGAAGAGAAGATGAGAATAGCCTGAGACTGTAAGAGTGAAAGCGAAGAAAAAATGATTCTGCAACAAATTAATATAAGGGAGAACCTACACACACACAATTGGCTTTTCCCCCACCTTTCCATATGGATGATTAAAATGGAAAACAAAATTCTGATGAACAATATATTCTCAAGTTTGATTTCCAATGTCAATACTTTGCATTGATGATTTTTTTTTTCATTTTGCATTTTATGTGCGTTCTGCTGTTAAAAGAAATGCCTGTTATGATTGTGTTTAAGAGAAATTTTAGGCTGGGTTTAGGTTCTGCATCCTCAGCAAGGGCCCCTCAGTATCAGCTCCCTTTTATTTCTTCCATTTTCTTAAAGCCTGGTTCTGAGTTATTGACGTACTGGCTACTCCCTTCATCTTTGCTCTATTCTTTCACCTACTATAAAATGTTGTATTTTTGTGGATTTTAACTACTATAACATTTAAATCAGTGCCTTATTCATAGTCTTTCAAAAATATGCTATAGAGCGGACAGATAGAAGGTACCTATAATATAGTCTAGCCCAGAGCTGTAAGAATATATCCTTATCAACTGTCAAACACTTTATAGTAGTCTTTTTTTCATAGTTTCAGTTGGATAGTTTTAAGTGAAACAATACATCACAGTTAAAACCAGTTAGAGAAAATTTTCACTTCTGTGGAGTTTACTTATTTGTTGTTTATTTTTTCCCTTTAGTTTTACCCCTCTTTCTGTTTCAGTTTCTTGTACTTCTGTTTTTCCCAGAAACTTACATCTTCCACAGTCCTATTATTTATCCTTCTCCAATTATTGACTAATGCTCACTTAACACACATTTAGGCTTTAAAAATTTTTGTTATTCATCCAGGATAAAATATTTTGAGACCTCTAGACTGTTACTTTAAAGGTTGGTGGTAATACTACTGCTTAGGAAATTACACATTTCTCTATATCACATACCTACATCCGTATCAGAATTTTAACCTAGTGGTATAACTGAACATCCACGTATGGGAGTTCATTAGCATTCATAGGTATTCAGTTCAACTTATCGGACAGGCATTGGCCAAATGGCAATGCATAAGAGGAATCAGATGGGACAGAAATACACTAGCTGCAAAATGATAAGGTATTTGGCATGTAGCAGTTTCCTCAGGTGGTACCAGCAAGCAAGGGAACAATGGGATTTTCCTCCCATTGCCACTGCTGCGACTGAAAGGAGAAGATGGATCACAGGGAGGTTAGATGAGAGAGCAGCTGAGAGTGCAGCCT